AAATTTCAATAAAAAATATAGCCTACATGTTATTCTAATACATAACCTATACTACTATAAAGTTTCATTAAAATCCATTCAGTAGTTTTTGCGTGAAAGAGTAACAAACATCCACACTTACAAACTTTCGCGTTTATAATTGTATTATTAAAATAAGATGACCATAATAACATACATATGTGAACGTGATGATTGCAAAGATCTAAAGTGGCAATTGAGAAAAAACGAACCATCGGTTAACAACACGTCTACTTAATCTAGATAGACATATATAAAATAATGATAGGGACAATAACGGGCCATTGTTCTTAAACAAATTATTATACAAAATTGATGCTACAGACAGACCTTTGTCGGGGCTGCAATGAAGCATAAGAAACATACGTAATATGTACGGCAGTGGCCCAACAATGAAAACAAATCCTCGGAACGGTATCTGTGAAGCCTGTGAAGATTAAGGAGTTTCTGCGCTTTTGTGAAAAGCTTGGCTGGCTACTAAAAGAAGTCTGGCTCTATATATAACAATGCCCGAATAAAAGCTAATTGCGGAGAATGGAGTCCAACATACAATACAATACAACGTACATATGTACTTACATCAAATAAATAAAATTTAAGTATCTGTTAGCAAATTAACAGTTTTTCTAGTGAAAAGCTGTTATTTGAAATTACATAAAAGAATGTTGGATTATATATAATTAATGCATATAAAAGTAAGTATGTACGGCAATTAAATTAAATAGATAATTTAAAATTATTTGTCTGTCTGTTTGATTTTGCTATTCTCTGAAACAACTGGAGATATCTAATGTTATAAGCGGTTATCTTAGACTACTTTTATTTTAATAATAATAGGTTAAATTCCAAATATATGAAGTCACGGTTACTAGTTATCTGTTTGTACATATTAATCTATGTAACTGTGTTTTTATTAAAGATTTTTCGTTTCATTTCAATAATTATTTACTGGATAATTGACAAAACCTTCTGCTCTTAACTTAAGTAGAGCTTCTGTTATGGGTACTAGACGACTGATATATGTAACTTCAATACATATTTAGATATATATAGAAAATATCCTAATACTTATAAAACCTTCTGATCCTAACTTAAGTAGAGCTTCTGTTATGGGTACTAGACGACTGATATATGTAACTTCAATACATATTTAGATATATATATAAAATATCTTAACACTTATGTATACTATACTTAAATACAAATGTAATTAAATATGAAAGAAAGGCGATGTGGTAAACCGCTAGACTACCAAGGTCGTTACCTTCTAGTTATAGTTGCTTTTTCAGTTAAAATAAAATATCCGGTGAGGGTGGCACCTGTCACTACTGACTGAAACCTGCTTTGTGTATAGTTATTTAAACATTCAATGAATTTTTTAAAATGTTTTTAAGACAAACACGCATTTTACGTCATGATCCAAAGTAGAATAAAATTTACTATAGTAAACACGACGACATGAAAAACAAGAAACCTAAAAAACAAACATAACGCACACAATAACAAATTATGTACGCAATGATAATAAGGTTGTTGCCCTGGACTAACACTGTTTTTAGATAAGATACAACCTGTAGGTGCAGTCGTCAAAAGTTAACAAATAGACAAACGATCACATTTATAATTCTAGCTGTTAAATGCAATTTTGTGAAAATGCACTCTCAGTTTCCGTTGTACAACCAAATACATTCAGAACCAAAACATTGGAATTTTTCAAGATTTAAAGTATATATAAATATTTTCGTTTGATTTTGAACTAATCACAAAATGAGGGTAGTCAACCACTAAGCCATAACGTACTCATAAATACTGAATGCATGCAAAACGGCTGAAATTCACAGATTGACAGGTTAATTAAAGCGAGGGAACTCGGATCCTTTTTATAAACGATCCAACAAAATTTAATTACTAGTCGAAAACCCTCGTGTTCAGAACGATTTGGAGCAATCCCTAATTTATCTATGCGAACAGTTTTAGATCTGCCAAAGGAATTGATTGACAAAGGTACACAAGTTTAGAATTATTTTTTATTTTAAATGTACTAACTATTGTAGATGAAGGCAGGCGAGTGAGTTTCTAATTGTTTATTTATATGTGTTAATTATTTATTAAGTAAAAATCAAAATAATTTATTTATGTAGGTCATTACAAATTCGTGGTAAATGCACCTCGATAAGCCAACGGACCTGATGTCATACTCATTTTGTCAGCTTCCACTGATACCTCGCCTGAGTTAACCATCATTAAAAAACGTATCAGTTAGAGCAATCAATTCTATATTCTGAGTTGAATAACTAGCAAAAACGAAAGTAGTAAAATTTCTTTAAGCTTATAGTAACTTTTTTGCGTCGCAATTTAAAAATAATTTAACTAAACAAAGGTCGAACGTAATGGGAGACGACCCGTGTTAGCTTTTCTAAGGACAATCTCGCAATCAAAGACCGAGCCACTATTTGCCACAATTATATACGTTTGAATAACTTAAGGCATTACCATAAAATCCTAATTATATATTTAAATTAGACTGGGTATTCGAACTGAGATATTTGGCTTTTGTTTTGGATCAAAGGGTTGAAGGCGTAGATAATCAAAGCTGCGGGCTAAGTTTAACGTCTATTAGCATGCAATAAATCAAAGCTATCAACGGTCGTTAAAGGGTTAGTGGGACGCCAATATGTTTGTTTTTTTTACTGTTACTTACAATTGTACACCACATACAACAACACATACAGTCGTCTATAATGGTTTACTACTTTAAATTACACACAACAGGCCGTGAGTTCAAATCTGGAAAAAAAATTGTGAAATTAATTAATAACGGATTATCGAAATCGTACCCATAACCAAATTTCCGTTATGAACCGTGCCGTGAACACACGTTTTATTCCTATTTTTTTCCCAAAAATATTTGACTTAATGTTTAACAACTTAATATATATCGTAATTTTATTATTATTTGGTTAATTACCGACTATTATATATACCTTTTTAGATAGCTTATTAGATGAGAAAGTTTATTAGGAATTTGTACGCTTAGAGTCATAATGTTTTTTTAAGCAACAAGGCGCTTAAACTCAAATAACGTTTAATTTATAAATAAAAAAATCGTTTGTAGTCACAGCCACCCGTAATACTTATTACTAAAAACTTGCTTTTTATGGCGTCAAAGACAATGCTTTAAATTTAATAAAATCTTATCTATCTGATAGAATACAGAAAGTGAAGGTTAGCAACGCTACGTCTGACGGGTCACTTGTGCAAATGGGTGTACCTCAAGGATCTATTCTCGGTCCATTTTTATTCCTAGTTTACATTAATGATCTCCCATATGCCATGCAGGATAGATGCGGCATAGTATTATTTGCAGACGATACTTCATTGATTTTTAAAGTTAATAGAATGACTAATAATTATGACGATGTAAATAGTGCTTTGCGGCGTCTCCTGCACTGGTTTACAACTAACAATCTTATGTTAAACGCTAAAAAAACAAAATGTGTTAATTTCTCTCTGTCTAAAAGTTTTAATACTAATTGCAATATTAAATTAAATGACGAATCTCTGGAATTTATAGAATCTACTGTCTTTCTAGGAATCACACTAGATAATAAAACACAATGGGGTGCACAAATTCAAAGCCTTGCAGCGAAACTAAGTTCAGCAGCTTTTGCCGTGCGTAAGGTTAGACAGTATTTCATAGTTTACTCTCTTATGGAATATTACTATGGGGAAAAGCGGCAGATATTAAAAATATATTCATATTACAAAAACGTGCCGTTCGAGCGATCTACTGTATGAAGAGTCGTGACTCATTAAGAGAGAAATTCAAAGAGGCAAATATTCTCACCGTTGCTTCTCAATTTATATATTCAAATATCCTATATGTTCATAAAAATCTTGACTTATTTCAAGAAAAAACAGCAGTATTCATAATATTAATACAAGATTTAAAGACAAACTTGCTGTCCCCAAGTATCGTTTAGAAAAAGTTAATAGGTCTTTTATGGGAATAGGTATAAAAATTTACAATAAGATACCAAAGGATATGTTGGAATTACCCTTAAATAAATTCAAAACATCTGTTAAATCATATTTACTGAGCAAAGCCTATTACTCACTAAACGATTACTTGAATGACGAGTGTGCATGGCAATAGTTGTTCATGCACTGAATTTTCATTTAATGTTAGACATAGACACCTATATAAATATACATTGTAAATAAACTGGCTTTAAAAAAAAATTCAATTGAGTTTCTTGCCAGTTCTTCTCAATTGGATCTATATACCGAACTGGACGGTAGGGAAAAAAATAAAATTATAATGTAAAAATTTGACGTTCATAAGCGGCTAAAATGTCCTACATGAATAAATGATTTTTGAATTTGAATTTGAATTTGAATTTACTTATTAAGCATTAATGGGCTATTTTGTGAATTATTATGTTTTGTTATCAAGTCCTCTACACATAAAAAATAGGTTGAAAGACCATTTTTTTTAATAATGTTGTGAAGAATTGGATATTATTTTTAAAACACATTCAAAATAACTCGAAAACCATTAACTTTCGGACAAACATATAGAGGGTCAAAAATATTGCATTTGAGCTCCTCTATCTCGTCTTGACGGGAATACGTCGAGTTTCCAGTAACCCAGTATAATATACATGTTGCATACAGATATATGACTTTCTTTACATACATTGAACTTACCGTGTAAAACCGAGATGGGTCGTTAGTGCTTTAATAAAATCGTCAAAGTTCAAAACGTACTCTTAATACATAAACAATCAAAATACTGGTACTCCTTACCAAATTCTAAATATGCCACAGCTAACATAATATTCACGAATGAATGTTTTTTTCTTTCAGATGAGGCGAATTCCAGTTTGTGATTACAAAAGTTTGTGATGAATGTAAAATGAGCGGAAACATATCACATCAAAAACAATACAGAGGAAAATGTTTACTTAACCACAGATAAAATGGATATAAGAATAGAACGGATATCCCAAATCATCGCTATGGTATTGTTTTGCAATCTTTGTTTCATTAACAATGTGAATAACGAGAATGTGGACGGAGTATTTTCAAGTGTTAAGATTTTAAATGATATAGTAGATAGCAAAGTCACATCAAATTTTAATAATATGAATAAAATAGATGTATATAAAAGATCTGTAAATAATTCAAGTGATACACCACTTGATTTTGATGATACTGAAGTATTGTATACAAATAATAGCAATAAAGTACCTGCAAATGATGAAAGTATAGTGAATCATACTGATATAAGATATGGAAGAATTGTAGATAGAGAAGAAGATATTTCAACTGAATATGATGGGTTTAACTATACAGAAGAACCTTGTGTTGGAGATCCAGATTTTTGTAATATGACGAAAGAAGAATACATAGATATGTTAAATGAATACATATTTCCACATCCATATGAGTGGGTCCTAATTGCAACCCACGCGATCGTATTTGTGATTGGACTTATAGGAAATGCTTTAGTGTGCATAGCGGTGTATAGAAATCATTCTATGAGGACGGTGACGAACTATTTCATAGTAAATTTGGCAGTAGCTGATTTTATGGTGATTTTGATATGTTTGCCGCCGACAGTGCTATGGGATGTCACGGAGACATGGTTCTTTGGAACGGCGATGTGCAGGATCGTGCTGTACTTTCAGGTCAGTTATATATTTTTAAGCATTATGCTAAATAATTAATTCAAATAAATTTGCTTAATAATAATTAGTAAGGGATTCTAAACCGTAAGTACAGAAGATCTTCGTCGCAGTGCTATAGGTTCTTAACATGTGACAATAGGCCAACTAATAAAAAAAACTAGAAAGATGCGATAATGTTTTACACAGTTATCATTTTTTTATTAAATTGATATAGAAATGGCAAACAGAATCTTTACCTGATGAATAGATATGATATCTTTCCATCACGTGAACCCACAATGAACAGCATCTATGCAGTATAATTTTTACATGTGAAGTAGAATACAAAACACATTATGATGGATACTGAGGAAACTGTGACGCTTTCACTGATCATTATTTCGTTTATCTTAAATACATAACAATATTTGTTATATTCGACATTTACTGACAATTTAGCTTTCTAAACTGTTAAAAGATTTTTTTAAATCATATAAGCATTTTGGAGCATACATAAAACAAATCTTTCTCTTTGTAATATATTTCGATATTGCGTAATTTTGAGTTAGAATAATTTTATGTGAAAAGTTCAGCCTTCTCATTCATATTCATAGTTACTGAATAATATTAGACTGGTGTTCATCTCAGCAAAAATAATATAAATGGTCAAAGTTATAATTAGACATTTTCACGACACTAAATAAACCAAGTCGTCAACTATATCCACATAGTCGACGACTAATATCAGTTTAAAATGCCCACTAATTAGAGTAAGTTTGTATTAAAGAAAATAGAATGTGATTTGTTACATTTTATCCACTAACGTAAAAAAACGGGTGTTTTAAATTTGACGTGTTATTATATCTACAGTCAGTCTGTGGCATCGTAGCTCCTAAATGATAGAACCGATTATATTGCGGATTTTTTATATGAAAATTGACGTAATCGAGATGGTCTTTAGCTACAATTTATTATAGGTTTGATTCAGGGGTTACTTATAATTTTATTTTTCGTAATTATTAATGACATTTAAACGGCAATCAACCTGACAGCTCTCTTAATGGAATGTACTAGTATCTCTCTTACATACATAAACAATATCACGGATGTAATACGAAGCAGTAGCTCTGCGTTGTCTACGTGTACTGTATACACCACTTCTCAGCAGAGTATAAGATTAGATAAAAAATTAGAATCCCAGAAAGATGACCTTGTAATAAATTTTCGGCTAGAATATATGTAACTATAACACTTATGTCACAATAATACTTTTTCATGTAAAAATATGCAATAATAACACCGGGTATACTAATATCATAAATATGAAACTTTTTATTGTTTGTTTGCATTGAATAGGCTGTACTGGACATATATAAAAATATAATTAGAATCTTACAGCACCAGAAAAAAAATTACGACGAAATACTTTAAAATAATAATATCCAAATTTCCTTCATAATATGTATATAATAGTGGGAAACAAATTATTAGACAAGCAACATCGATAATATATTCAAACATTCCCCATTCATGAACGGTTACTCGCGAGGCTAGGTAAATTGAATTCTATTGTGCATATAATGCAGTTTACAGAGTATGGACTTTATAACCGACATTGTTCATTCAACAGGCTCGGTGCAGTCCCTAATGCATAGCCTTACAAAGCCTTTGTGATCTATAAGTAAGCACATTATGCTTATTGAATCCAGAACTATGTTGCTAGTGCAATAAACAATATTCTATAAATAAAATAAACATATTTTTGTATCTGATATCCCAGCATGAAAGTAACACATGACGTGCTCATATTGCGAAATTCTGAATATCACATAAGAAAACTTAGTGTACAAAAATGTTTTAGTTTTAGTTGAATTTGTACAGAATTTTTTTTATGCTACGATCTCGGCAATTAAGCAATACCCATTTGATAGTAAACGGTTACCGTATTCTATGGACGTCTAAAATACCAGAGGTGTGTCGGCGTGTTGTCGACCCATAAAAAACCTTAATCTACCATTCTAGAAAAATCTCAGCAGTTAGTTCAGTCCATAATCTAAGTGCACGAGAACCTTCTCTGAAAACGCAGTGGCCGAGACCACTTAGGTTCCAGCATGTGGGGATGAATTCTCTGTCGACGACCAACGGTGCAATGGTAAAAGGTATCCGTAGGTATCACATCAAACAATTCTTCAGAACACATCTTATCTGCGTGGATATCTCTGTCCTATCTATTTCAGCTGCAAAGAGTTTGCTATGTAATGTGTATTAGTTGAAGGATTGAGATAAGACGCGACTTCGTATAGCTCCAGGATGTAACGCATAATGAACAGTATCGTGATCATCAAATGACGTGAAGTCCTGAATGCTGTATATGTATATCGTATGCTATAGTCACACTAATAGTAGTTTTAACATTCATGATACCTCAGTAAATTGACATTGTTCTAACAGTATTACCTAATCCATCCCATCCTGCTATCCTAGTACAAACGTAACCCAAGCTTTATTAATCTACCTATTGGTATAACAAGTCGTTAACAATGAACAAGTTAACACCAACTGTTATTAGTAGATAAACTAACCCACAGAGCCGGATTTAGTTAATCCAGGGCTCTGAATTTATTAAGGGTAAACTGTATATTATCTCAACACATTGGGAGATAATGAGGTATTAATCACTTATGTGATTTATCAGCTTATTTTTGCATTACTGCAATAAATAGTCATAAATGAAACATTTTTTATAATCAAATACATTTAGAATGACATTGTTTTTCAAAGTTTCAACGTTTAAAAAAGGCCAGAAGTTACAATTTTTAATAATCCCCTCCTCCTTGAGAATAGAATTGGTACTGGTACTAATAGCCTCTTTGCCAGCAATTGCCATGTCACATTACTACATGAGGTAGACCTCCACGCGGTCCTTCTTGAAAGATATATATTTGTTTAGTGGATGATAATGGAAAGATGCGCCCACCTGCGCTGACGGTTTACCCGGCGGGGCACCAGTGAAGAATGATAGGATGAGCATGATTTCAGGTTAGTTTAGTTAGCCCATCGTGACAAATTCACCAGGAATTCATCAGGATGGCTTCCAGGGGGAAGGAACTTCCTTGGAGGGCAACCTGATATAGTACATTGCTAGCAATTGGGTCATCCACATTACTAACACTAACATTTCCCCGCAAAATGAAGTGGTAAAATCGACATGATAACTTGACTGACACGACTTCATACTCATGCTATCATCCTCCACAGGTGCCCCGCCAGCGTATACAGCTAGTATAGACAGATGCACCATTTTATTATCAGACTACCACCCCATCTCCTCTCCCCCCTTCCCCTTCCTGATTGCATATTGAATCCGCCACTGTAACATCCTCATTAAAATAATATTATAACAGACCTTGTATTCCCATTACATGTTTAATTATTCAAGGAATACCCAGGTCCACTTAGTGATATAAGTTTATAATTGTTTAAGTGTCAGCGCAGACATTATGAACATCCGTTCTGATTACGACGAACTGAGGCCCGCAGTTTCTTTCTAGGTCTAATTTAAAAGAAACGGCGGTCGGAAACCTTATTAAAAAAAAATATAGCATCGCCAGGACGCTTTATTGTCGTACGTCGTACGTCGTTGTCGCATAGTTTCATCTAACTTTTTTCTTTTTACTCGCCTCTTAAAGATCGCAGTGAAGTGTAATGTTTAATAGTCTTTAACTTTCAACGAACATCCGTACTGGCGGTATAATTGCAAAACGGTTTTGTTTTTTTTACATTTTCACAATGAAATAGCTTAAAGCATTTGAATGTCATTTTAAGTGAGATATTGTATTACGGGCTATAATACGGGATGTTGGCTATGATTAAATTTATAAAAAGCAAACAATATGGAAATCATCAAATAATTTTGTTAGGTAGTTATTATTATTATTAATAAATTTGTTAGGTTCCTCGGCCATAAAAATACTCAATAAAAAATTATGAAAATAAGGTTGTGAAATAACAGAGCAAGAATCCATTACATCTTAATTCTCTGGAATAGTAACAAATAGTGATATTCGTGATATAACATATAGGCGATAGTTACAAATGAGTTTTTATTAACTATTCTACTAAATATTATAACAGAAAGAACTGTAGGACTTAAAGCGATGAATGACCTTGATTTTCCTAACATAACCTTTTAAATTGGGAATTTATAGCTAAGTGACATGGCTAGACTCTCCTAAGGAACGACTGGTACAGAATAGAACAATAATTGTAATGGGCTTTCCAAATCCCACTGTTGGGATATCACTTCAGAGAACAAGATATAATGTTGGTTGGTTAATCCGCGGGGGATCGCTGCGGTTAGGTTAGTGATTAAGTAAACAATTCTCAAAAGCGAGTCAGTTTAACTAATATAATCCTTGGCAATATGAGTTTAGAGTGTTTTTTATAGCAAAGCTCTAAGAACACTATTAAGAAGAAATGTTAATGACAAAAAAAGACATGGGGTATTGATTATATTTAATACATATTAATATTTTAAATACAATATATAATAATTCGCGAGGAATTAACAACGTTCAATCTCATTATCTCCCTGTACTTGAGTTATATCTAAATTTCCTCTTGTTCTCGTGCAATGTGTAGAATATGTGTATATATAATATGTATTAGTGTATGTTTATGTATAAGTGTTTATGTATAAATATAGTGTCTAGTGTGCGCCTCCTACCTTCTCTCTGTAAGTTAATACTCTTTGTCAACACCAGGTTGTCTGTAAGAAATTGCTGAGCGTTGAGACGCCAAACCCTTTGTAAAACATTTTTATTGTACTGTACCTATTGTTCTTTTGTTTATCTGTGCGCAATAAACAGTTCTTGTTATTATTATTTATGGATGGCGCCTAATGGGACCTGAAGACCCCTCTACTAGCAATGCTTACCCCTCCCCCTTCTGCAATATACTCAGTTTGTGTCAGTATTAATTCCAATATAGGTAGTTAAAGTACATTTATTTCGATAAAATTGAGAAATAAAAATTTAATTTAAAATCATAACATATCCTCAGGTGTGGGAGAGGTAGCTGAAGTTAAATTCATCATAAAGCCCAAGAGAGTGTAATAATTTCAAAATGAATTAATTATGTTGTTGACTTAGCTCAATTTATATTAAAATTTATTTACATCTGATGTGAGGTATGTGATACATTAGTCCTTATGAGGGACAATACATAAAGGTCGCCTGCTGAGTGTATTTTGTGATATCATATTATAATGTTTGTACAAAGTTGCTGCGCGAGTACTCTGTCACCAAACTCTGCTTCTTCCTTTGTTAACTGTCTTATAGTTTAAAAGGTGAGATATTACAAGTGTAGGCAGAAGGGGTTACATCATATTAATGTTCTGTAATAAGCTCGACGAACTCATAGATGATAGGTTACCACTTCACACTCTTTTTAATTAGAATTGTAAATAAGCATTTAAGATTAATTACTATATCCGTATAATTATACTACTTAGTTCTATAGAAAAAACATGGCTACAGCCTCATAGAAAAAGTTAGTCTCCCATATAAAACATCACATATGTATAGTGAGTGACTACTGTCACTCATGTAAATGACAGTCATTTACAATGGGTAACTATGTATCTTAGCTCGTCACATAGGTATAGCTAAATCAACTTAAAGACGCTTTTTGTGTTTGTAAAAGTATGTCAAAACTTCCTGTTATAACAGCGCCCTCTATAATACAACAACTATAGAACACAAGAGCCGCTAGATGGCTCTGTAAAAAGTCCGGGCGACGAACGGAAAGTTGTCTCAGTTAACTGCAAAGAGTAAAAAGTAAATATACCAAAGCGAGGAGTGGTGGAGGCAACATCTGCCTGAGAACTGCATGCGTTCAGTGATTTGTTTTAGAATAGTATAATTAATTTATTAATTACTATCAATTAAAATGTGATTTATATTTCTACCGTTTATTATTTAATATTTTCATCAGTAGTTCATTTAGTTATTTAGAACGCCAACATGTAATGAGGACAATGAATCAAAGTACTCCTAATAAGACAAGTAGATAAATAAATACAATAACACTTAATACCTGTATACATATTTTTGTTACTTTAATAGGTCAAAACTTAGCCTAGACTAGATAAAATGATATACACATACCTATTAAATGTATTTTTCAATACAAAAGTACGTTACGTTAACTCCATCTAGTAGTAGACTAAATAATCAGAATATATATTATAATAAAAAAGAAAATTACTTGAAATTATATACGAGAGACTGACAGGGAAGTAGGAAACATCTATGAGCTAGCGCAAACTGGTTTACTCCAGTTTTAGTGAATGTATTGTACTGTACTGTATTGTATTATACTACTACAAATGAAAGAAACGCCTTCAAGCTTTTTTGACTTTAATGTAAATGACTACCTTAATCATACCTAACTCTAGATTTTTATTAAAATGCTCGTGTTATTGTTGCAGTCTGTGTCAGTGACTGTGTCGGTGCTGACGCTGACCTTCATCTCGGTGGACCGCTGGTACGCCATCTGCTTCCCGCTCAAGTTCAAGTCCACAACCGGACGAGCCAAGACCGCCATACTTATCATATGGTTGCTGTCTCTACTTTTCAGTGAGTATCAAATTTATGGACGGTACTACGTGTAGGTATAGAGTGATAAGTGTCCTATATCTATGAAAAATATATTAACTTTGACTAGAATTATAATAATAATAATTATTATAATAAGGGCCTAGGACAATTCACTCAGTACCCTCGTCCCAAGCTAGAAAGAATTTGTTTTATGGTACTAGATCTGATAGAAATACCTAAATACATATTTTTTATAAATGTATACATAATATACATTGAATAAACCCAGACCGATACAATCATAATCGTGAATAAAAATGTTTGCATCATGCAAGGAATTAGATTGTCAGTGGTGTAATTTTTATTATAATTTGTTTAGCACACAGAAGATTGTCGCGAGTTCGATTCCTTACACGGTACGAACATTAGTGTTCATGAGTATGATGGTTCGTATTGGTCAGAATATTTTCTGTCTCTTTCTTCTTCTCTTTCTATGTATTTAAAAAAATGAATGTAAGTATTTCAATCAGTTGTCTAGTACCCATAACACAAGCTAGGCTTAACTTGGAACTTGATGGTGCTGTATGAATTGTCCAGGTTATTCTTATTATTATTTTCTCTATTATAATATTAGTTTAGAAATGGTATATAAACCCTTGATATTTCGTATTGGGAAGCGATACTTTTAACTATCCAAGTTGTCCTTTGTACTCGTATCGGATTTTTTCAATCACAATAAATTACTCGGGGTCCTCTTGGGAAGGGTCATCTATCGCGGATAATAAACTGTCTCACAAACCACGCGGCCAGGTTTCGGTGACATCTTATGGTACGATAGCACTTGATAAATTGGTATTGTCTAAGAATATACACGTATGTACCTGTTTAAAGATATACAATATCGAAGGATCTGTTAAAATGGGAAACAATATCAAAACTTTATTTTCGACCGTTGTGGTTTACGATTCCGACGCTGTTTTGATTTGTCATACGAAACAAACATTGTATATTTCTGTGCATAATGTTTTATATGTTACTGTTATATATATATATTGTATTAGATTACTATTTATATGAAAATCATTATATTAATATGTGAAGTAAAAACTTTTTACCCAATTTTCCGAAAATGGCGCCGACGAAGGAATCTGAAGTTTCATGGGAAGAATTTTATTATATTTTTTAAATTATGCAATTAAAAAAAAATATTAAATTGATTAAAAAAAACTTTACAAACTATCATGTATTTGACACACACCCGTGTATGTCAAATTGAGAATAGATTAATGTTGTTTTTCTATAGTCTCATTAGATATACTGAATGTTAAATTAATTATTGTCGAATTTGGATAATTGGACGACCACTAGTATGCTTAAATATTTCTATCAGTCGTTTAATACACTTAACACAAGTTCAAGTTTTAGGATACATTTTTCGAATCATAGTTAAGTATCCAAACAATTGGGGACCATTGAAGTAAAACGAAATGTGAATACTAACACAGTTCTTATACTTGTAATGCATTAAATATTTTGTATCATAAGTTCGGTTACTTTACACTTGACTCCTCCCAAACATATCTGATCATGCCTCCAACTAACTATAGAATCGTTTCACTTAAATTTTTCCACACTCTGGTAGCAACTTTTTTTACGTAACTAGCGTGTTAAATAATCTTACAACTCACCTGATGGTAAGTGGTAATCTATATCATAAATGTATAGATATCACATGATACTAATACATTGCCGCTTCGAAGAACTAAGATGTCATGCCTTTTATCGCAAAATTTCACTGTCATATCTCAGCTTTGGCTCGAACCACATCACAAATTTTGTACTGGAAAGACGGAAGGAAAAAATTGAATAAGAAATTATAAAAGGTTTACAAGTACGAGAGAGTCTTAGTAAATAAAATAGGTCAGAAAAGGCACACTACGTTAAATCGAGATAGATTTTTGTGGGTAAATCTATCTCATTTATTTTCAGCCAAGCTGCTTGAATTGTATCTTACAATTTCAAAATTTTCCAGTTCAAAATTTGTGATGTATTTTACTAGGGCTGACATCAAATTAAGCTGACTACGTACATACTGTCAACCAAGTCGACCAATGTAACTTTAGTACCAATGTAACTTTAGTATTATGTTCCTATAGAGGCACCGGTTTAGCTTTTGTAAGCAATTGCGATCGACTCACAATGGAATGTGGCGGTTCGCACTTTATCATACCCTTGAATTGTACACCAGCATCATATTGAGTCCGTATTTCATGTTCTTTCAGTGAAATAACCTATACTGTAATGGGTTTATTGGGTTTGCTCTCGATTGTGTTTGAAATATATTGTATAAAACTGAATTGGTTTAAAATTTATATTGACTCAAGAGTAGATTTGGTCTTAGAGGCTGAGTAAGATAGGTTTTATTAATAAAATGTTTCCAATATATATTTCTTAAATATTATATATAAATGTAGTGGAAAACAAGCTGATGGTAAGTGGTAGCTGCCTGCTTATACGAACAGAACTACGGACTTCTCGTTATCCTGTGATGTCTATGAAACCATTATTATGTTGTGATTCCATGGGATATCTTATATTATTTCTCTTATCCTTTAATTTCACTGCCTTCCCTTCGACCGAAACAGGTTTGTAAGCTTGACAGCAGAAATAGGTAAAATGAGTTAGCCATACAATCGGTTTTTCGTAATTCCGTGATGGTTATTGAGCGGAGCTCGAAGCACGGAGTGATCTTAGATATCAGATTGGCACTATTTATAACGATACTGCTCCGAAACGGTTTGACCGATTGAGACTAAAATTTCATCGTAGGTCGAACTTCAGCATCCATCGTTTACCACTCAAAAAACTAATTCGGTCAAGATCTAGTTTTTATGAATAAAAGCGCTACGCTCACCATGTGACCTGGTGTAAACAACACACCGTTAACAAACATAGTATATACTCCTATACAATCGACTATCGCTACTTTCCACCAGGAGGAACGTCAGGTTGCTTGCCATTACATTTTATAAAGAATGTACCATTTGAATATAATATGGTCGATTACAAAACGTAACCTAATAATTTTGTTCTCAGATATACCAGAATTCGTGATGTTGCAAGTACAAAGAAAGATGAAACTCCGCTTCAATGTGCAGTACTTCATGCAGTGTACGTCGACATGGTCGGACGATAGTGATCTCAATTGGCACATCATAAAGGCGCTTTTCCTTTACACGTAAGTCGGATTATTAAAATTTAATCTAAGAATGCTAGCTATATTGTATACTCGTAATACTACTGATGTGGGAGTTATTCGTATCCATATCCACGGTTATTTGATAAAGGAAAAATGTGTAACCGCTTTTTCACTTTAGTGGTTTTTCAATGGCTCTTTTACATTTTTAATAAATATCATCGTGTATATGAAATCATTCATTCAGGTTTGATTAAATATAATTGAGGGGACATTTACATATTATAACGCTTTTATAATTTTTGTCTATTTGTCAGTACGTGCCTTAATACATGCTAATATCAGAAACGCTTTGATCAATTGAAATGTTGTTTTCAGTTACAAAATATACCCACAATATGGTTAGTATAAAAAATACTGTTGTTCTTTTATACAACGATGGTGGCAAACAAGCATACACCCCATCCAATAGTAAACGGTTACTGTAGCCTGAAACACCAGGAGTGTCATCCCTTGTCATGTCGGCCCATAAGAAACCTTAATATACCTTTCTTAATATAGCCCTCGTTTCAACGTCACTGGCAGCTACACCGTAGTCGTAGAGATCCATATCCGTATTCCACGGATCTAGACACTAAAGATTCGTATCCGTGGATATACATTTAACGATCCGGTGCATCACTAAAAGTGACGAGAAAAATATACCAAAATCTGAACGCTTTATTTATTTACGTATGCCAGATTGAAAGATTGGAACCAGATCTGCGTGTTATAGTTGAGGGCGTCCATAAATCATACTGAAGGCGTGATATTTATCATCATTATCATTATCATAACAAGTCATTATCGTTTATAAATACAAAATATAGTAGTAAGACTTGTTATTGGCAACCCTATATTTTGAATTAATGAATGAATACGGAATATTGTATCAACCTGCGCTAATGCTCTAGGCCGGCGGTGCACCCGTAGAGGATGACACGATGAGCATAAAGTCAGGTCCGTTACAAGATCATGGCGAATTCACCAGAAATTAAAGACGATGTTTCCAGGAAATTGCTAGCAATGGGGCAGTCTCAAACATTGGCAACTACAATAGAGTCGTTAGTTGCCAATATTTGAGACTACACAACAGGGATGTTATGGATATAAAATTTCGGATACGGATAGGTTTCGGATATAGGAATGATTATTATACCGGATACGGATATGAAATTATTTCGGATTATCCGTTAGTTTCGGATAATTTCGGTTACGGAGATAAATTTTTTAAGGAATTTTAGAAGTAAAATACAAATATCTAATAAAATAGATACATATCATGTTACGGTTACGGAGCTCACTAACAGCCCTGCTACACAACACATATTCTTAAAACATCGACGCGCAGATTAATTAGATTTGTTAACGGTATTTTCATTACCGGATAACGAGTCGGAAATATAATTTAATACATAAACTTTACTTTTGTGTCAGCTAGATTCAAACCCAAGACTTTTCTTACTACTTATCCCCAATCTAAGGTATAATCCAACTTTTCGCGTAATGAGACGAAGCGTTAATTAAATCTTGTCGTCTAATAGGCTTTATTAAGGCTCATCAAGCATTACATTCAAGAAACATTAAACAAGTTTTACAGTAAATTATATAGGTATATTTAACAGAACTTAGAGTCATCATTATGATTTGCTTTTCATTTCCATCATTTGTCCATTCATCCCAAACAATTTGGAGCTGGCGTAATATGTTTTTCTTTTCCATTTGTCTCTGTTCACAGTCATTTAGCTATTCAATCCCTTTCTTGCCATATCATTTTTCATACAGTCCATCCATCTGACGGCTCACCTGCTGAGTGCTTATCGTGGACTATATACATAAAACAGCACTACGGACATCACATTGTCATGTTTGAGGACCTCGGTGGTGTAGTGGTTTAGCACACCACTTTATTTCCGTTGGTCGTAGTTAGATTTCTCGCATGATGCCAATATTTGTGTTCATGCGTGTTTGTGTCGGTCTGGATGTGTTCGACGTATATTATATGTGCATTTACAAAAAAAAATATTTATGTATTTGTATTAGTTGTCTAGTACCCAAAATTGAAGCTCTTGGGACCAGATAGCGCTGTGTGTATTGTCTTGGATTATAAATATTATTATTACACGATACCTCTTATGTATTCGTAGAAATTCGTAGAATTGGCTACTCTGTGGACTAAGATGTCGAACCTCTATGTATATAATTTTTCTGTCATATCTCACGGAAGAAATTAAAAAAGGGCATAGAAGTGGGACTGCTAATCGGCAGAAATAGGTGACAGAAATATTTTGACAAATTACAACTCGGTACATATAATCTTCATATAAAATATCGAACTACCTCATCTGGGATTACAGTCAAGTAGATATTAAGTACTACATAAAATATAAACTCAAACTACAATTTCATATTCACCATAATCATCACCATAGTCTAGTGTATGAGTGTGGGTTGTAGGCCTTCACTCATCAGAACCAAAATGACGATCGTTACAATCAATCACAAGGGCTCAGAACTCAATGGAAAGATTCCCGAGATACGAGAAGAATGGCGGCTTGGGAATTGATCACATTTTTCATAACGTACGTTAAAACTAGAAGACATTCTAACATAAAAGCCATTTTATATTTTTAAAGTAATATTTATTGTCTCTGCCGACCATTTATGGCATTTAACGTTTAGAGAAATACGTACATGTTGTTTAGATAGATATTTCGCGTTTCTATTATATATTTTTGTTTTCTATAAGACGTTCTATAAGATAGTACATCAAATTGTTCTAATATCAATAATATCCGTAGCGATATAAGGATTTTTCTGGAGTGAAAAAAGTCATAACAAATATCTATTTTGTCAGAAACATCGAGATGTAAACCTTATCCATACTAATATTATAAATGTGGAAGTCTCTGTCTGATTGTTTGACTGTCTGTAAAACTTAATTTCCTTGCCATGACTAAAGGGTAGACCGTATATTAATACATTTTTTTTGTGAAGATAAATGTTATCACGAGGACGGATCTTTTATTACAAAAATAGCAGACGAAGTCGCAAATTACAGCCAGTTCACGGTAAAATTATTCGTGTTAAAGTCCAATTCATTATAGTAATAATCTGTGCTAAATTCAAAAGTTTATAACTATTTCGCCAGGTTTCCGCTGCTGCTCATGATGATTGCATACTGCCAAATCGTGAGGGTGCTGTGGAGATCAGACAACATACCCGGCCACGCGGAATCACATAAACTCTGCACCACTCCTACTACGGGACAGAACAACTGTAAGTTTTATATATACCTGTGTAGGTCTTTTCTGAGAATGGGCATAAAATTTTACAATATGACACCAAATTATATTTTAAATATACTTTTAATGAATTCGAATTTTTATTAAGGAATAAATATTGAATAAAGTCTATTTTTTTCTTTCTTTTACTCTATAAAGGATTATTTCGGAGACAACCTTGTATAGCGCGTTAGTTTTCAGACAAGGAATTATAATAAATACAAACACATACATGCTAAACTGGACTACCGTGAGCGTGGAAAAACAAGCCAAAAATAGACTGTAAAAAATCTGCTTTTTTGGGCAGTAAGATGCAGATTAGGCAATGAAATGACAATAATTAAATGTAAATTTAAAAAGTATTTCATCGGTAAAAGTTAGTGAAAACACTTCTTCTAATCTACTCTCTGAAAATTGTTATCATAAGGAAAGTTGAAGTCTCTGCTTAATCTGATTATGTAATTTTAAAGTAAACAACAGTAAATAACAACAAACAATCTAATCGACCTTACATTCATCGCTTTTCTTCATAATATTATGCTATTCTAAAGTGATTTGAAAACAGTTAAATAAGTAAACAAGAACTGTGGGTTAATATCAACAATTATGCGTGCACTTGAGCGGATTATTTTATACCAAACCTGAAATTTCAATTAATATGTTCCTACTGAATATTAGAGAATAGCTATTCAAAATAACTTTGTCTCCGTAACATTTACCTCGTTTTTACAACATTTTTCATTGCAGCTGCCCTTCTATTGGTCGTTGCGTGATGTTCTATACCCCATAATCTCCTTAGATGATAAACTCACTAACTTATATTCATGTCAGACTATCAGGCTTTTGTGCATGTCATATTTTTTATTACTATCCCTACCGTCCAGTTACTTCACTTTTGAACTGGTAAGAAACTCAACTATAAATGGATAGTGAATAAATATACAACACAAGACTAAAAGAATTTAAAAAATCGGATCGGTAACACTCAGTATTACCTCGAATATCCAAACTCACGAACTTTACGAACCTGTAGATTCCCTGCATATTGTCTTATTATATTATTGTCAAGTTTATTTCCCGTCAAACTGTTAGCCATTCCAGTCTCAAAAAATGTTCGACTACTTTACAATATGACCTATTCTACTGATCACGATGTATGCATGAGATGACATGATCCCAAGCTGATATTATATTGACGAAGGTATACCGCTTTCTATCAAAGCCGTCAGCTATTTGTCATACCCAGTGGATATTCGTTGTATAAAAAGCCACGCGAAGAAATATTGAGATGAATATTGGACATTTAGGTGTAAGGGTAAAAAGTTCACGACGCCGTTCCTCTCATATAGTTTTTTTCTCAGGTTGATTTCTGCCATATATCATTTCAATGACGTGTGTGAAAAAAGGGAAGCATCCTAACTTTGTGGTTTACTGCCCGACTTGTAAATTCTAAAGGTTGAAACGACTTTAGGTGTCCAAACTTTTAGTCAATTTACGAAATTTTGTTGACAAAATAAATATACTCCTCAGTAAAATATATAATCAATTATTCATGATTTTATGGCTGTATTTAGAGGCATTATACACTATTGATGTTTTAATGTCTAAATGCAGTCGCATTGCATGCAAGTGTATATCTAATAGAGTAGGCGAGGCGAGGTGAACACACCACTGTCTTTAAAATTAATAAATAAAAAACTCTTTATTGTTCCTCTCACAGAAAAAAAATTACATAACTTAATATGTACAACAAATATAAAAAAAAAATTACAATATAGGGGTAACAGTAAGTGTTCTTGTTGCTAAATAGCGATTTCTTCCAAGCCACCTTAGGATGGAGAGGAGTGATTAGACTGTGTCTGATCATTTAATTTGTTTTAATATTATTAGTATTTCCATCACCAGAGAGTTCGGCAGAAATACAATAATAATTATATATATAACACACAATTTATATTAATAATATTCCTATTTTTGTAGGTACAAACATCGCTATAGGAGTCCATATGATTACGTCGCTGGCAAATGATAAATATATTGATAGAGATAGGTCATCATTATTCATTAATTCATTCATAATTTAAGAGCCGCTATTATCGGTAGAGCTGTTGCCAATTTTCCCACGATTTTCCATCAATCTCTTTAATTGTTGATTCTGACTTCAAAATTTTTCCTTGATCTGTTTTATATAATTATTTATTACTTAATTATTATTATAAACATACACATAAACATACATAGAAAATACGTACAAACATACAAAATATGTATAAATTCTTGTTTTTATAGGGCTAGCAGCTAATAGAAGAACGACACCGTCAATCCACGCAAACGCATCTACAGAGGGACAACTTCGTTCTAGAAGGAAAGCGGCCAAGATGCTGGTAGCTGTCGTGGTAATGTTCGCTGTCTGCTACTTCCCCGTTCATCTTCTGTCTGTACTCAGGTAAAATATGAGATTATCTTCCTACCAAAACTCTTCCCAGTATGCTTACGTGATGGAAAACGTAATAGGAATATAATTATAACTAATGAATTTACTTCAATTTCTTCTTCTACTTTTTTTATACTTAAAGCAATTCAATATATATACATATTATATAGACATATTGGATACAACTTCGTCTGCGTAGATTCAGAAATGATTGATTCTCCAGACAAACTTTCATCCCCTATCGTTCCCCCTTCGTGTTTTAATTTCGCAGCTTAAAGTTGCCCATACCCAATGAAATATCTTTTTCATTGTAAACAAAATATAATATTTCAAACACAGATGTGTCACTTTATACAGTTATTTTAATAATATATTGCTTGCTGGAGATTGAATTAATTTTATCTGCAGTCTCAAAAGCGGTTAGGTGGTTACATTTTTCGAGCAGAGTAATATATGGTCCAATAAATGCCATGACACACCCAAAAGAATTGGCTATTATATTAAAAACGAGTTTTATGACATGTTTCTGTCTCTTCCATTTATTCCATTCCATTATATCTTTTATTTAAACTTTGTAAAGAAAATAAATATTAATAATTATTATAATGACAAAAATACAATATCGTTCACTAAAAAATTCACAAAAAATTTTTGTCTCTTCTATTTATTCTATGCCATTATATCTTTTATTTAAACTTTATAAAGAAAATAAATATTAATAATTATTATAAGATTTAGTTAAAATCTATTCATATATCATTTATCTTATTCACTATAAACCCTTTTTTAACAAAAAAATTTCAATTTCACACTTTCTTTGATATATTACTATCACTTTCTAGAAATTGAATTTATTTTATATTCATCATGAAAAGCAGAACCATGAATAATATACTGTCCAAATAAATGTCATGAATTGCCAAAAGAACAAGGCTATTTATCAAAAACCAGTTCTTAGTTTTATCTGCTTCTTCTCTTTTATTTCGTTTATATGTGAAATAAAACAAAAAACTAATATAAATATTTAATCCTAGTAGTTGAAAACAAATACTATTGACCAATAAATATATTCAAAAAATTATATAATATTTTAACAACCTACAGATTTAACGTAAAATATAGTGATCTCAGTGGCCTACCGGTTTAGCACTCCACCATTCGAATTACATAAAAAGAAAACCAGATCTTTTGCAGAACATAATGAACTTAAAAAATATTATCCTATCTTTTCTTAGTCGTAACCGTTTTCATTGTTCACTAAGGTTCAGATTCAGGTTCCTGAAAATATCAAACTGTCGGCTGTCACTCGCATGCTCCAATGCGCGGCGCATAACTAATTTCAAACAGTACATTCTATCTGAAGACATGAGATAATTCCATTAAAGAAGTTTTCATCGTCGATGGATAGCACCACACTTTACTTACGTGGTTGCGGGTTCGATTCCTCGCACAGTGTAAACATTTGTATCCATGAGTATGATTATTTGTATCGATCTGAGTGTTTTTTATATATAATATGTATGTATTTACAAAACAATTAGTGTGGGGCTAGATGGCGCTGTGTGAATTATCTAGTATTATGAAAAAAATAGTTGTTTACTATTCTTACTTAGACTGCAGAGACCGTGAGTACGAATCAGGGCCTTAATCATAAAAGTCTTTGCGTGCCAATTTATATAATATATTCTGATTAATTTCTCGGTGATGAAAATATCAATAATAAACCAAATTAATGTGAGAAATAGGGATAAACTCATGCTCGATTGGATAAGATGAAGATGCAGTAAAACGAACCTGCGACCAACAAAAATAAGGCAGTGCTAAACCGCTAAATCACCGGCACCATCATGGAAAGAGATTCAATTGAACTGAATATCACTTTTTTCCGAATTCAAAGTGTAAAGAACATTGTTTAAACTTGGAAACAGTTTTAGTCTACGTTTTATCTTGAGCTCTGGTGTCGGCACCGAGCACTGCGAACTTACTTAATACTCCTGCCACCTGAACAGTTTGAAAACTTTAGCATTAATGTAAACTTTTTGTTCCGATCTCTTATCTCCTTGCTAATTTTACGGCATTCGATTGGAAACTGTTGAAGATTCAAGGGACATTAACTTGAACCAAGATTAACATTCAATTGATTGTATATATAATTCCCATAAATAACTTTATATTTACATATTACATTAATGACTTTCATTTTACAGGCATAATCCAACGCAGACATTAAGATGTTAATGACATCTTCTTTATACCGTAAAAACATTTCAAAAAATTAACGATTATTTTTAATCTGTCATCGTCGTCATAGCTTCTAATGTGATTATGAATTTGGTCGAAACATCTTTGGGAAAACACCTTAGATGTATGCCATTGATCCTGCCAGTCATTATTAACTAAAGTTCTAAAATTAACAATGTATATTGTGTTAATTTGTGTTATTCGAATTATAAACGCTTATTAGTGAATATAATTAGGAAGCTAAGCATAATGAAATTAAGAAAACGTATATAACAGCAGGGATAATATATCTGTCTGTGGAAATAAAAAGAAATATAATAATAATAAAAAGATATAATGATAATAATAAAATAAAATAAAAAATATACCTACGATTGCTGGACATGTCATAGTAATAAATACTACCGATTGGCGACTCCAATTTGACCATAATTAATTTAAATTATAAATTCTAACATTATTCAAGTTCTATTGTCAAAAGTCTTATATACTTCTTGCTTGTGTGTCAAATACACCACATACCTATATAGTACTTGTAATTTTTTTTTATTCATTTAAATATCATCATCATCTGCTTCTTCCTTATCCCATTTATTTGTGGTCGGCGTAATATGTTTTTCTCTTCCATTCATCCCTGTTCGCAGTCATCCCGTTATTTACTTCCTTTCTCACCATATCATCTTTCACACAGTCCATCCATCTCTTTTTCAGTCTTCCTCTACCCTTAGAACCATCCACATTCATATATAACACCGGCCTTAGGATATGATCTTCATTCATACGCATTACATTAATTCATTTAAATATATTTATGTATAATTAAAATAAAATATTAGCATTCTGCAATCTCTATATAAAATATAAGTGTGTGTTTCATACTCCTCCGCCCGCGCATATTTCCCAAAAAGGGGCACAAAGTCTGTGCTTCACGTATTAATCTATACATCTATACATATAAATAAAGTTTTTTACTACATGCATATGAATATATATACGGTACATATACCAAAATAACAATTTTTATAATTTTTGTCAGTCTGTCTGTCGGTCTGTTTGTTCCGGCTAATCTCTGAAATGGCTGGACCGATTTTGACGGTACTTTTTTTGGCAGGTAGCTGATTTATAAGGAGTAACTTAGGCTACTTCTATTTTAGAAAAATAAAGTTAAATTCCACGCGGACGAAGTCGCGGGAACAGCTTGCATATAGATAAATTGAAAAGATTTTAAGAGAAGATTTTAAGGAAATCTGTTGGCGAGTGCATTGTTACTATTAGAAAAAGAGCAACACAATAATGACCGCCATAAGTATTCGCGATCACGAGTTCATAGGAAAATCTAACCGAGAAGCTTTTACCTAACCTTACTTTGCCGCCTGCATACATCGTTATATTAAAGTTGTACCATAAAATATCAACATAAACGTCCGTGGAGGATATCCGTGTCTACCAATATAAGGCTCCGCTGAGAAATAGCGCTGCAGCATAACTGTGCAGCGACATCATTCTGAGCGGGCCACTTTATAGCCAATCCTCTGTAGCATTTATAAAATATGTATTATATACTATTGGCGAAGATTATTAATTGGCATAGGACAATTTTATATGACAAGTAACATGTAAAATTACACCGTTAATCTTCCTAAATAAATAAATAAATATTCTTCGTTGTTTTATTGTTTTTTATCATTAACTAATCATAAGTATACATAATTTTGTTGTTAAATTTAAAATCGTTTAAGAATACTTAGTTTGATTAATGGGTCTAAAATTCATAAGATATCGGTGTATATTATGGAACAAACATTTGATACACATACAACCGCCGTAGGAAACATCCATAAGTTAATCTTTAAGTGTGTACTTAATTTTTAAAACATTCATGTAATTTACTGCCAAAACTCAACTTTTCAAACCAGGACACAGCAAAGTTAGCTTCTCAACGCCAGAAGTATGTGATCCACGCAGACGTCTTTACAGTTTCCCGCGTTAAGATATCGGTTCTTTATATCGATTATGCACCCTCTAACATATACCTGATACATACATAGAAAGTACCCAGACATATTCATGAATACTCATGTGTCTATTGAGGGAGGAATCAAACCCATTGGAACTAAAGCGGTAAGCTAAACCACTATATCACCGAGGCCGTTATCTATACATATAAATAAAATTGGAGTGCCTGTTTCGTAACATTGAAATAACCGTTTTTTACTACATGCATATGAATATAAATACAGTACATACACCAAAATAACATTTTTTACATTTTTTGTCTATCTGTCTGTTTGTTCCGGCTAATCTCTGAAATGGCTCAACCGATTTTGACGGGACCTTTTTTGGCAGGTAGCTGATGTAATAAGGAGTAACTTAGGCTACTTTTATTTTATAAAAATAAATTTAATTCCACGCGGACGCAGTCGCGAGTACAGCTAGTACTATATATGATTTCATTGTTGCCCTACAGGTTGGCCTACGACGTGCAACAAACTGATGTGATGACATGCATCGCGCTCATATCACATGTGATGTGTTATGCCAACTCTGCTGTGAATCCACTTATCTACAACTTTATGAGTGGTGAGTATGTGTATTCTATATTTATGTACGTGTGTATATGTATTCTAGCTAACCTTCGTCATGTTTCCCTCGTTTTTGCTACATTTTTCATTGCAGCTCCAATTTTATTCATGGCACCGTGATGTTATAATGTCTATGTTATATAGCTCGATCTCGTCGCTCGTCATCGATAAACAGACTATCCAACAAGAAAAGAAATGTCAAAATCCGTTTCAACATCCAGAGATTACACCTTATAACCTAAAAAGCATGACATCTTTATAATGTTGGTGTAGATTTATAAAGGATGACTATTTTACCATTGTAAAGAAAGTAAAAGAACTATACCCAATCAAACTACCATTATAATAAAGAATTTAAATATTTCTCATTAAAAAAATCTAAACAGACGCTAACAGTAAAAACATAGGGAATTTTATACTAGTTAGTAGTGTACAAAATATTATTACTAATTTTATTATTAACAACCATGCATCCAAAGAATTGTTTATAATATAAATTTTATATAATGAAATGGGCATTAACGACATACTTTTTTGTTAGTTTCTAATATCTTTTGAATCACCTACTTGTACTTATCATGCCAAGTTCTAGTCTGTACGGTAAAAAAATGTATGTTTATTATATTGATATTTATGATATGATAATCTTTGCTAGCCTATTATCATCATTGCCTTGTCTATATCCCATTATTTGGGGTAGGCGTATATAATATATCATCTTTTTCCACTGATTCCTATCGGCCGTCGTGTCGGAGTTTACCCACATTATATATATATATATATATACTATTGGTGAAGATTATTATTAATTGGTATAGGACAATTCAATATGATCAGTAACCTGTAAAATTACATCTTTTATCTTCCAAAAATAAATAAATACCGTGAAATCAGAATTATGACGATTTACATATCTTATCATTCAACAAGTAAATTTCATGCCCATTATTCTTGACTGCATCATCATTGAATGGATGGTAGATTTAAAGAGTGTTAGAAAACATTCAAGAGTGTTTGAAATAAAATGACAAGAGATTTTATTTATATTTTTTTCTTTGCAATAATTGCATCCGTGTAAACCACCGGCGAGTCGCTAGTTCTTAATTATTTAGGTGCCTAAAGCCAGCGAATTGGGTAAATGTAATGTCAACTTAGGAAATTATGTACAAAGTAAACAAATAAATATAAAGTAAACACACTTAATAACCAACGGTCCACCAACGGACTAAGATCCTTGGAGAATCGTCCTTTCATGAGGCCTTAAGCAATTTAAGTTAACTTTTTAACTGTCGTGTTTGGTTGGACTAATCGTAACAAACATAAAATAACTTGCATACAAAAATAAGCAATATAAATATTTCGTCATTACTTTTTAATGGCATGCTGATTTTTCTAAAATCATATTATAAGAAAGAAAAATTTGATTCTTATTCTGAAGAAAGTAAACTTCTAAACCACTGGATATATTTATGAAATTATTTCGTTGGTATTATATCATTACCATTATTTCAGAGTGACATACGTTATATATTATATTAATATAAATAAGAACACTATAAGTGTGACCACCCAATTGAACCCACAGTTTAATGACCCCGCCCTTAAATTAAAAAAAATATCTAACCCATTTATTGTAATTCCTACACTTACATATAAAAACTATGTTTTCGGTGCGGCACATTAGAAATGTACCTTTTTTTAAATATCGGCCAGATATGAACTCACGACCTATTATAATTCGTAAGTCTATATGAATAATATTTGTTAGACAGACTAGTACCAGTTGGACGCGATAAGTATTATCAGTCCCATATGATGAGAAAACTTACTTAAATATTATCAGTTAGCATTCCTCGATGATATTGCTATTGGAGAAATATTTGACATACATAAGTATTGGGGTAAGTATATTTTTTCATTGGGAAAATTCCCATAGGAAAACTCATGTGATATTCCTCATAAAAGAGTGTGTGGGACTACTTCTATCAACCACGTAACATCGATGTGACTGAAATAGTATACAATATTTCTAAAGGTCAAATAGGTGTATATACCGATCATATATACCAAAAGTTAAACATAAAACGCCAACACATAACAGAACCAACCAAAACACAGCTTTTAAAACAAGTTGCAGAGGCTGAAAATATATATTAGTCTATGGTATACATATAACTCCACTTTTATATCTATACATATAAATAAAAGTGGAGTGTCTCTTTGTAATATTGATATAACCGTTTTTTACTAAAATACCATTTTTTTCAATTTTTGTCTTTCTGTCTGTTTGTTCCGGCTAATATCTGAAATGGCTGGACCGATTTCGACGGGACTTTTATTAGCAAGTAGCTGATGTAAAAGGAGTAACTTAGGCTACTTTTATTTTAGAAAAATAAAGTAATATTTCAAAATTCCACGAGGATGCAGTCACGGGTACAGCTAGTCTTAAATATATTATATATAGTCTAACGGTTTAGTGCACCGCTTTATTTCCGATGGTTACAGGTTCGATTCCTCGCACGGTGCAAACATTTGTATACATGAGTATGATTGTTTGTCGGTCGATCGGTCTGGGTTGTTTCTATGCATATATTTACAAAAAAAAATCTAAGTATTGTCCAGTAGACATTACACAAGGTCTGCTTACCGTGGGACTGGATGGCGCTGTGTCCAAAGTTATTTATTTATTATTTAATTATTATTATTCATTTATAAACCATGGTAATCAACGTATACTATAAATTTACAGATGTTTTAGGCCAGTGTTAGCAACGGACCATCTGATGATAATGGTTAAAAGTGTAAAAACCAAAAGAGTCACGTATTCGTTGCCCTTATGAAAACATAAAACCATTCTTGAAAAATTAAAATTGTTAAAATATTACATGTGAATCATCTTTTGTCATGTGCCACAAATTTTCCATTCTAATAACATGAATTATATAGAAATACGTTTTTACAATAATAATAACCCTTTACAAATCACAAAGCGCCATCTACTCATAGTCCCAAGCTAAGAAAGCTTGTACATCCATGGTATACTAAACAACTGATATAAATACTTAAAACATTTTTTTATAAATACATCCATATTTTTTTTTATATCATAATTTGAGCGCGTTTGACCGCAATCTCACCTGATGTTAAGTGATGATGTGGTCTTTTCCATAATATATGTCGGAGTAGGAAAGCAGGAATACTTTTAAAAACATGACCTATAATAGGATCATCGGTTTTACTAGTGGTAGTAGTTTAACATTACATTAAAATAATAAAAGAACAAGCGAAATTAGATTAGTTTATTATTATAATAATAATCTCTAAATATGATTATAGTCCATCCTTCATTTTATTTTATAACACAATACTTTTCTAATGTGATTATAATTACAAATTGATTCTACTAAAGTAACAAGAGTTTTCAAGCTTCCACGCCGCTCGAGCACCGAACACAGAATGAATCTTATTCACAAGACCAGCCATGTGGTCAAATCGTGTTCCCTCCAACTTGAACGCGCGCTCAAGTCGGAAGGTGTCGATATAAATACCATTTTTGCCTAAGGCTTATAATTAAACAATAATAAAGCGGCATAATTACTTAAATTACCGTCTAGTTATTCTAATAATATTAGCAATTAAATAAAGCCATAAACTTGTAATATTAATAAATTTGACTTACACTATTAACCGAATCATCCGGATGTTTTTCATGTTGATTTTAGTTAACAACTTAAATGCAAAATTATTGAACGTTACATTATTGTTAAAAATAACTTTTTGGTATTTAAATTTAAATCAAGATGATTGCATTATTTTCTTTTTAAAATGGTTACAAGATTTTATCAAAGTTTTAATTATTGTGAAGGAAATCCGCACGCAAATGGCGGACGTTACGCAACATCCGACATTCGCTCGACATAGATAAATTTATTTACAATTCACATAACAATTGCTTAATTCATAATAAATTTTAATATTTAATTTAGTTTTTACTATATTTAGTAATTTTAAATAACAAACATAAGTTAAGGACTGATAATGACGCCATCTAGCGGCGATTATGCGTTGATATTAAGCCGCATGGTAGCTCCATCTATCGTCCTTATATTAAAGATGTAATGAATGTGATTCAGTTTCTATTAATGTTGATAATCAATATGGTAAATCAACAGCAGATGCGTCATTCATCTCCTTATTTTTAATTTGTGGGTTATAATGTAGCTGCGGCGACATATACATAGAAAACACCTAGACCAATACAAACAATCGTACTCGTTAATACAAATGTTTATACTGTGCAAGGATTCCAATCCGCGACCATCGGCAGTAAAGCGATGTCTACACCGCTAAACTACCGAGGTCATCGGCTGATGCCGACCATAACTGTAGATCGATAATACCATCTCTTCTCCATGCCAAATGCAACGTATATGCTAAGTTAAATAACTATTGGTTTTGAAAGTGTAAAAAGAAACCGTCTCCCTATTTCGGTTTTACTATGTATAGAAGGAAATAAAAGAGAGACCTATCAACAAAATAAGTATATATCAATTTGATGTCAGTCAAAACAAGCTTTATAACCCGGCGTCTGTAGAGTACATTCATGAAACTTTCCTGACGCCATTGTTTTCTGTTCTCCTGTCTACAACTTTCAAACTAGTCGTTGGATCTTAACATTGATGTATAATATTACCAACATATTAGAGAAACCATCCCATCAAATCGTTCGCACAACAAACTAAGAAGATGAAATGGTGTAACAAACTAAAGAGATAATATGAGCATGAATTAAGGCCAGTTAACACATTATGGCGATTTTTTCGGAAGTAAATCTGACAGGAGGCATTGATAGCAATGATGATACTTGTGATACTCCGTAATCAAAAAAGCAACTAGTTGTGGCATTACCACCGCAATTCTTATAGTCACTCGATAGCATAGCTCTATACAGACTCGATATCATAATCACGTATTTTAATAACAAATGTATTTATTATC